ATAGGCAGAAATCTCAAACAATGAAAGCGGAGATTTGTACTACATATTTGTGACGTTATTCATTAATGACCACACGTTTCTACCTTATAAAACCTTAAACATAACATTTGTCTTGCAAGGGTTATGAATTAAAATATTGACTTTTGTCATGGCGACTGTTGTTTAAAGCTTTAGAATTTCTGCAAATGTTCTGTTTCTGCATTCCGTTTGGCAGCAATTGTATCACAAGTGACGTAAAGAAACATGCACAAAGTTTTTTTTCTGAATTTTCGACAATTATTTTTAGATGTTCTGTTGTTCTGCGTTGTATATTTTTTTTCCATTTTTCCTAAACAACATTGCATAGTAAGTCCTATTTAGTGGTTTCTTAGATATTATGTTTTCAACAACAATCGCCATTACAAAAGTCAATATTTCAATTCATAATTCATTTGTTGTCATTTAAGCGTTTTTTTAGCATTGCCAAATAAGCGGGAGGTATGTTTGACATAAAATCAGGCTCAACCCACCATTGAACTCGTTTAGCACTCCCCCGTTTTTTCTTAAAATGTCCTGTACCAAGTCAGGAATATGGCAGTTGTTATCAAATAGTCCGTTTCTATGTTTGTTGGCGTTTGTTTGTGTTGCAGTTCAATGCTTCTGTTGTTTCGTTGTTTTCTCTTATAGTTGATGTGTTTCCCTCGGTTTTAGTTTGTAAACCGGATTTGTTTTCGCTTACTCGATATATCTTGAACAGCGGTTTATTACTGTTGCGTTTATTTAAAGCTGCTTCTCCAACATCGAAATGAACTCATCACTTCGTTTGCATTGTTTTATGTTTTAGTTTTGATAGAACATTTGATTTAGGTAGTTTTATATTTCAAAAGCAGTTGATATAAATCAGCTTCTGAAATGTGAATTGTTCATCTTAAAGATGAAATCCATTGCCTACGTACCTTAGTTTCCACTACCAGCTGATGTCGTAATGACTTGTGTCTTGTCTGAAGACTTGAAGCTCCTGTACCTGGTGTAAATCAGATAAAAACAAGTTATATTAGATATAGTTATTCATTCTGTAGATCAGCAATCAAAAGTGCCAAACACATTAAAATACAAAACTGTACAAAAGATTTATTTTTCTAGTAAAATGCTATTGTTTAATTTTGTGGATTTTTCCAATAAAAAAATGTGTAAATAACTTTAGCTTAAATCTTGAAAGTATTTAGGCTTATGAAAAATATTTAACAAAGAACATGTCTTTGTTGTTTAGTAAAATTTATAACTAAAATATATACTTAGGAAAACGCAATAAAATTAACTGAATTATATGCAAAATAGCTATAAACTATATTCAAGATATACAAATGTTTCGATAAAATATCTTAAATCATACTAACAAATGCATCTTTTAAAAATCCAAGCCATTACTAAAATATGCAAACAACATATCCGAATAGACAACGAATTACAGGAAAATGTTTGGGAAAGTCATATCTCTATCGGTTGAATTTCGACCTATAAGCAAAATCAGATGCTTATTTTTAACACAAAAAATAGATCTCACGGTTAACAAAAGTAATGAGTTGACGATTACAATTCACAAATAATCATTACAGGAATGATATGACAAAGTTCTGGACTGTTCATTTAATTTGTTGACTTGAAAATCGAATTAAAAGATTTACAATGTATACAAAGTAAAGAAATGTTTAGTAATAAAGTTAATTCCTTTAATTAGATGTAGACAATAACTTTGCAATTTTTTCCTGTCAAAACCTTTCAAAAATTACATACACATGCAAAATTAAATATATTTTTCATTCATTATTATGGAACTTTGACATAAAAAATCATGAACAGTTATATTTATTCATTGGCCATTAGTATTCCTTACCAACCAAGATGTAAAGTATATCTCTTTTATTTTGGTAATTTTGGTAAATATTTCGGTATGTTATACATTAGAATAATGAGTTGATTCAATTCAGTTGTAATGCATTTTGCAGCTAATGCACCTTTAATGTCCCCTCATCTATTAACATCATCATACCTTCAGCAATAATGCTATCGCAAGAAACGAAACTGGTAAGAAAGACATTCGGTCGCTTCATAGTTATTTATTTGAAAACAATTTTGCCTTTTTAATATAAACTATGTAAATTTTGAAAATGGCCAATATTTTTGTTCAAGCATATTGTTTTTCTTAAATTGTTTACCATTTCACAGCGGTATAACATGTTACTCTAATTATTCTTCCCTTAGTTTATTTATTTTGTATTTACATTGTATCATAGATCAAATTTATTTGTTCAGTGTATATTCACTGGTGTTAATATGTCTTTTGATTGAGTTAAGCCATTTCAATTGATATTTTATAGTGTGTCTTTCTATGTTGTGATGTTACACTATTGTTTCAGATAAGGGTGAAGGTTTGGTTCCATTAAAACATTTAAACCCGCTGCAATTGTTTGCACCTGTCCTAAGTCAGGAATCTGATGTTCAGTAGTTGCCGTTTGTTGATGTTGTTCATAAGTGTTTCTCGTTTTTTATATAGATAAGACCGTTGGTTTTCCCGTTTGAATGGTTTTACATTAATAATGTTTGGGGCCCTTTATAGCTTGCTGTTCGGTGTGAGCCAAGGCTTCGTGTTGAAGACCGTACTTTGACCTATAATGGTTTACTTTTATAAATTTTGATTTGGATGGAGTGTTGTCTCATTGGCACTCATACCACATCTTCTTATATCTATATATCACCAATTTATTATCTCGGAGAACACTGTCGATGTTGAAAGATAGAAATGAAAGTTTTTCGGTTGTTATATTTTAACATTAAATAACCCCTTTTTTATATAATTTTATTGAAACAATTATGAAAATCTAATGCTCTGTACAAACACTTCAACTCTTTATTAGAAAAGATATATTTCTAGTTTGTTAATTTTAAAGATCGACGTAACTAATTACAAACTTATTACGTTTTGTCTGTCGCTGCGTCTTCTTCGTCGTCTGGTTGTCTTCAAAACATCTGGTTTATTTCCTGTTCTATTGAAACAGCCTTGCACTGTAATAAAATAATACTAAAATGTTAAAACATTCGTTTTATGAGTATTTCTGAACCATATAGATGTGATTAAAAATCGTGTTATCCGTAGCGTTTCGCTTTATAGATAAACTGTCTGTAGCATCTTTATAGATCTTATTTCGTGAGATGTTCTCTATCCAATATTCTGTATATAACAATAATAAAGGTTGTTAGAGCCTTAGAGTTCAAAGATAATGCCGTGATATTGTGAATATAAACAACAACAAAATTGAATTAAATGTTGGTATTTTTTTGCAAAAACAAAAGCATGTGCGGGGGATGGGGTTACTACCATAAATAAAAGCCCACCTACAAACAGACTTCTAAACATACTTTATACACAACATTTTCTGATTTATTTAAAGTTGATATCAGATAAACAAAGCAAATAAAGACCACCTTAATATCTGTTAGATTTGATATGACTATATATACCGACATGTATACCAGGTGCATGCGTGAAAAAAGGGAAAACAGCATATACACGGTTAGAGGCATTTTTGTCATATGAGAGGTGTTATTACAAGAATTTAAAATACTATAATCCACATCCCCCCATAGAGAAGCTATACATTTATTTTCATAGATTTTTTTAAAAAGAATTACATGAAAATAAGGAGATGTGGTATGTATGATTCATATGACGAAAATATATGTCCATTTGGTTTTTCTCAAAAGCAATATATTTAAAACAAAAAACAAAATAGGTCTGTCTGCACTGTATGTTTTTATGTTCTGTTAACTGATATTAATATTTTTAATATTTTTAGAAAAATCAGGGTTGCGGCTCCATAAGATAAGGGTTGGCCATTGAAGGGGCTAGCTCCCATTTGTGTTTGAAGTTCCCAATTTGTCCTTCCCTCTATTTTGATTCCTCAAGTGTTACTTTAGTGTTCTTGGTGACAGTTTAATCAGCCTTGCACATCAGACACATCAACAGCTAAGCATTTTACTTGTTGTTTTTATACGTTTTGTTAATTATGAAAATCTCTGAAACTTTCTATTAACATAATCTCGGTATCTTTTAGTGTTTATAGTAAAAGGAAGCAATCATGTTTTCACATTGTTTTGTCTTAATTATTATTTAAATAATTTTGATATAGATATATATATATATATATATATATTCTAATGACTGGTATTTCTTAATCATAAGAAATCCGATGGACAAGGTATAATTTGCAGTTGTCAACATAGGAAAACTTAGATATATAAATGAGAATCGATTTTGAAGAACAACAAAATTTTATAAGTCTAAAAATTTGTGAAACGATCGCGATTCAAGATAATCATAGACGAATAAGATGAAATGATATCGTATTTACAAATATTTTTTGTCCAACCAATAGTCTTTGTCGCTGTCAATCTTTTTTTTCAAAATGCAATAATACAGTACGCTTTCTTGATAATGGAGTAAAAGTTCTGGTGAAAACAAACTAGTTTTGCTATTGAGAAATGAAGACAAAAACATCATGCGTGTTCACAGTGGAATCCCTATATCGCTGTTGATTACCAATAATATATTCATAGTCATATCGATCATTGGAATATAGTTAATATCGTTTGTTTTGTCAGGTATCGATAATTAAATTGTTATTATTCTGTTAAGATAAAAATAGACTTTGGAAACACATTTTATTAAAATAGATCATTTGTCATCAGATAAACCTGGGAATAAATAGTATACTTGTCAAGGATAAACAGAAAGAGATAGAAAGAAAAAAAACATGTGTCATTTTGTTGTTATATTTTGTCTCTTGATATTAGAATATTTAAAAAACTTTAAGACATTCCATAATTATCTTTAGACATTTTAAGTAGAATGATTCGATATGTTCTTTCACTTTTCTTACCCTCATGTCTATAAATAAATAAGAGAATTCTAAAATCTATAAATAGATCAATTAAGTCTTCGACCCACTTTTAATGACAAAGTCATGTTTGAACAAGAGTGGATTTCTGGCAGTATTATATAAAGCGTAGATTTTGTTTCTGCACTCTAAAATGCAGTCCAAATGCAATGCTTCCAAGAACTTAGAGAAAGAAAATAATCTTGGAATATGCTTTAAAAAGCCATGTTCAATTTCATATGCAACAATGGCAGCTCGAATAAGATCATATGCAAATTGGACACGAACTTCACCAAGGCCAGTAGATCTAGCAGATGCAGGATTCTTTTATACAGGTAAGCACGCAAGTATATACACGGTGGTGGCAAAAAAATATGCATTCTTAGATGCGAAAATTGCATTTAAAGGTCAAATCATTACTCATGTACTTTCGCCACTAACAAACGTTTTACCTTTCTAAATTTCCGTTGATAAATGTGGTACGAGTTTGTATTACCTAAAGCTTTATTACTTTCTATGTTTTAAAGCTAGTATATATATTGTATCGTAAGTTGATTAAGATTGTCTCGTTTTTGTTATGTCCTCGATATTTCAAACTTTAGTCCCCTGTTAACATATGTTATTATACTGTATGAGTGTATGGTTGGGGTTCATTTTATATAGAATAAAGAGCAAAAAGTGCAAATTAAAGGGTAAAAAAAATAAAGAATAGAGAAACAGGCCAGAAAAATAAAGAATGTAGGAAAATAGTCCAGAAAAATAAAGAATAGAAAATAATGGTCAAACCAATAAAAGAATAGAGGAAAATGGTTAAAAAAGTTAGAATAAAGAAATTGAAGACCCCTATCTAGACCCTATAAGTGTGGGTTTTTTTCTTATACACTGATGAATATAATTTTATATTTACTTTCAAAACCATTTAAATATTCGGTTTAAAGGTTATTGCAATATGCATATGAAGCATATGCCCAATATACCAACAATTAATTTTCAATATGAGCATTCAAATAGGTTTTTTAAACCGAAATACACAAGACATAGAATATATACACAGTATACAGCAACACTTACCTCACTGGTGTTGTTTAATGTGTAAAATTCTCGATATCAATTATTTTGGAAATGACCGGACATGAATTAATGCCTTAATGTCTTAAAGGAATTAAAAGTAGACTGCTGTCAGCATAATTGATTCTGATTCTGTTTCAGGTACTGAAGATGTGGTCCAGTGTTTCTATTGTGGATTAAAGCTCCGAAGATGGGATGTTTTCGATAATCCTTGGGTGGAACATGCTAGACACGGGAAGAACTGCCCTCATGTCAGTAATGTGAAAGGGGATCAATTCTTTAAACAGATGAAACAGGTATACGAAAATGCAACTTTTAATTCTTACATGATCTCCCTTTATTGAATTATTATTACCCGGTATATCTTTGATGTTAAGAAAAATTAGAATAGTTCTGTAAAGAGCTACGAGTCTTCTCTTATGCATCGTCATTACCTTTTTCTTTAGGTCGAAGAGGATGGACCACGAATAAACTAGGTAATATAAACCTTAAATACATATATTTAATGTAATGGAGAAATGCACTTTATTTTGTTTTATAATATTTTGTTTTATACAGAGTATAAATTACTATAAAATTCTGTTACAAAATCTTTCTTGTAGAAAACCGGGAAAGACAGCAAAACTAGAATATCAAGCAACTCGTTACTAATCTAATATCGAACTTGATCAAGCTTATACTTCCCAACCTTAATTTCAATTTTTCTGAAAGCCAAATATTATAAGAAAGGAATATTTGAAAAATTAGCAAAATCAACATCCCACCAAATAATGTTATTTTCCAAAAGTAGGCCAAAACTGTACGTTAACATAAAAGAAACAGTTTTTCTTTCATTTCTCTTATTTCTTTTTGTTTTAATTACATTGTACCAAATTATTTTTCATATATATGTATTTACATTTTTCCTTCATAATATAAAACAATTAATTAACCATTGAAAATATACACAACACGATATAAAACATTTATATCAAAATAAAATAAAATATCCATTAAATATAACTATGCTATTTATTGACCCCATATATTAACCCAAAAAAAAACTTTCTGCGTGGCCTGACCAATGTCTTATGGGTCTTTAACATTTAACTTATTCACTAGTGACAATAGTTGTATCGTCCAATATGTTCAAAAGTCAGGTCATAACGACAAAGAAAAATTTTGTAACTGAATTTCATATAGTTTTCATATACGTAGTAGTAATTTATATATCGTATAAAACAAATTAAACTGCATTTTTCTACTTAACATATTAACACTGTTTATTTTTCGTGACAAAAAGCAGGACTTAAGGGATATGGTGTATTAATTTTTCAAATCACATCTCTACATGCATTTTTATCACTGTTCTACTCAAGTTTTCAAGGAGGAGCAAAGAAACTTTAAGGCTCACATCTCGACGGCCCATAACCCATATTTGACCGGAATTGATACATAAAAAATGCAACGATACATTGGGCAATTTGTTAATGTACAAAGACAGTCTTTTTTAAATGTGCTTAAACAGATAATCGACCAAGTTCCAATAATAACAGTATGGCATTTGTATTATCAAATTATTTCAGTCACAAAACGATATCTTTATTCCGATGATTTGATCTGTACAACAGCAGCTCAGGTTTTGGTCAGTATGAGATGTTACAAGGAACAAGATATTATGGACGCCATCAAATTGTTTGTAGCAGAAAAAGGTATCTAATTTATATATATATACATTGACAGAGTTCTTTCGTTGGCCAGAACATGATAAAAGGAAGGACTGTCGTTAATGTGTTGCTTTATAGAAATGGTAGTCATGTTGAAAGTCCTTAATGGTCCCATCATTTAAAAAAAAAACAAGTATTCTTATTCATCATACAAGCTGAAAACCAAAAATCAAGGATTACATGCAGAGATAGATTATTACTAATTTCATTGAATGTTGTATTAGTTATTCTGTCCAGAGTAAGTGATCCATCCACATCTCCTTTTATAGGACAAACGGACAGTTCTCTGGTTTTAATGCTCACTTAGTGGAAAGGGCATTTACTTTCACATTTATAATGTCCCTCAAACAGATTAAGTAAATATGTACTGTGTGAATAATTACTACAAGGCATATTACTATTTATTTCAGATACTTTAGATTTCCATGCGTCAGATATTTTAACAGTTTTACAAAAGTGTTCCTGACGATGTATGCAACTGTCTGCCGAACAAATGGTAAGTCCGACCCTAGTATATCTGTATATATTTGATTCGCGGGAGTAGTCAGCTGATACATTTTGTATGTATGTAAATTCAAGTCATTAGTGCTACTCATCTGATTCACTCAATATTTTATACTTTAAAAGCTAAATGTAGCGGATTCTCCAATTGTTAAATAGCATCACCTTTATCTGTGACTATTTTTCGTTGTAATATCAAAATAAGCGCAAATGGTATGATTGACAATGAGATAACTATCCACAAACGTACAAACGCCGTGTACTTAACCAACTTGGGTTCAATATTGATGTACAGTGAATTGATAATAAATCGATTGAAGGAAGTACTAAGTACAAATGGACAGCAACAAATGCACAAACAATACAAACAATCTGTCCTGGTGAAGAGGATAGATATAAAACAGAGGAGCAGTTATTGTATAAAATGTAAAATTATATAAAATCACAAACGTTTGTTTAAACCACTATTTCTTTTTTTTTTACTGTAAACCAAAATCTTAGAAAGTCACATTCAAATTAACCTGGAAGATTCCAAACACTGTGATATTTTCACCTGTAACATTTTAAAACTGCTTAGTTGGTGAAAGTTTTTATAAGAGGCACAAATCACTTGGAGAATCTGAGGCGAATCTGTTATCTACACATTGACTGAGATAAACTTACTGGTAATATCATATAACAAACGTACGCTATATGCAGTGTGAACTGCAGTCATGTGGAAAATGAGTATTCCTAGTTGTGATGTTATAGACAAGAAAAAAATTCTTATTAAAAATTAAATATATTTATGTAAAAAAGGTTGTTCGATTTGTATAAAAAAAACGAGTTTCGATCAATGCAGTATTTGCTTAAGGTAACAGATGCGAGGGTGAACATAAGTGAGTCAGCAACCTAACAACAAAACGAACCAAGGAAAACACACGTTCGCTGCCGAGTTCGCCTGTTCGCGTGATTTCAGCTGCTATTCATTTGTTTTTTTGTAGTTAGGGCCCTCCATCCTTTTTTAAACTGTCCTACATGTAGCTGCCAGCTGATACAAAGAACACAAATTTTGCGATTCTTGGTCAATATACCTTTTCTAGATGAGCATCTATGAAACTGTGACTTTCTGTCCTTCTTTGAGGAAAGAATTGCAAAAACTGAGTAACATTATTGGTGTATTGACCGTATATATGTATAAATATTGCATATGGTGTAGCATTCTCCTATTTTCATTGGATATTACGATCGCGTGTTTCCAATAATATTCCATGTATCTGAAGCCTTGTTTCTATTTTTAAGTATATTGACGCTATGTTTCTGTTTATACGTATATTGACGGTCAATATTAAAAATATGTGACGTCCCACATAACAATCATGGCGGAAGCGCCGCAGAGTACGAAAAGAAAATTTGCAAGTAAACTGAAATGAGTTCCATTTGAATTCTTATTTGCTCTAAACAGAAAAAAAATGCTGTGTTTTTGTTTACAATTAAACAAGTTAATCTTATTTATTAATATTTACAATAGCATGTTAAAAATCTTGCAAAATAAAATTGAAAAAAAACACATAAAGAAAATTGAAGTCCATTTTTTCTAATACATTATTTACATATGTAATATATATAAATTCAGGACATTCACTCAGTCAATACGTTATACATTGACCTGTTAGATTATATTGACACTTGGACTTCGTCTTCGGTCAATATAATCTGAAACACACGAAGGTTATAACTGGCCACATCAGTTCAGGTCTGTTAAAAGTAGTAGACTATATAGCTATTTTGTCCGAAATCTCTAAAATTGAACAAATCGTTCCCGACTTAGCCTACAATAAATGATTACCATTGGAGACAATGACGTCAGATACATTGCCAGCCAACGTGGGTTGGCTACTCTAACTACAAGGTAATATTTTAATAACAAAGAAACACCGTTCACCTCTGAAGGTCAAATATTATAGTAACGAAATAGATTCCATTTTTCTGCAGGGTTGGGTTCGTTAATAAATCATTCAGTCAATGTGGGCATGAATGTTAGTACCGGAAACATCTGTAGATTGTCATATCAAAAATTAAAAGACCGGCTACGTATATCGCGAAATTTTAGCATTTATCAAACTCAATAGTAAAAAAACACTGATTAGTTCGTTCTCAATTGATTTTCGGGTTGTCTAAAATGTTGTTACGAATGATTGATTGTTCACTTCGAAGCTATATCTGATCATATATATCTTTATTCTCAATAAACCATCATTTTGACAAGGTATAGAGAAATACATATGTACAATATATACAATATATAATAAAATACAATTAGTACAAGACATTTGATCAACAATAATAGGGGTAGCTTCACACTAGATTAAGCCTGGAGTACACACAGATTTATTTATGATTTTGATAAATTTGAAAAGTTTAATAAGCTTTGTTTTCTTTTTTGATGACATCAATAATATATACTTTAAGATATTTGGTCTGGTGTAACTTTATTTTTGTATGTTAATTTTTCTCTCCTGTTCAAAAAATGGACATTCCAAGATAAAGTGAAATTCATCCCCGATTTCATTTTTTCTACACAGATTACAGTTTCTGTTTTGTCTGTTGGTGTTATACCATCTACCAGCTTCAATAGGTAATTTATGATTTGTTGTTCTAAATCTGCAAAATTCGACAACATTTTTGTTATCTAAAATATCTACGTAAACTTCCGAACAAAACTTATCTTTAAATACTCTGTAATTTACAGCTTTGGGTGATTCTTCTAACGATAAGTGCCAATTCTGTTCAAATTGATCTTTAAGGTTTCTACTAACTGTCAGACGCAGCCAATTCAAATTCATAAAAGTTTGTGTGTTCCAAATATATGTTAAGCCACATTCATTTAGAATATTTTTTATGTGATCTAACCATAAAAACCGATCTCCGTTCACATATGACAATTGATAACATAAGTTATAAACAATTTTTGACAATTTTGACTCTTTTCCAGAAAGAAGTTTAGCCCAGAATGATATCATTCTATTTTTTATGTCAATTTCTAGAGGATATCTTCCAAGTTCACCATATATTATATACGATGGTGTAGAAGATTTTAAATGTAGCAGCAATTTACAAAATTTTAAGTGGACTTTTTCGATTATTTCGTTATTGCTGAGTCCCCATACTTCGCACCCATACAGTAAAATAGGTTTTATCATTTTATCAAATAATTCGAGCTGTGTTTTGATTGCAAGGCCGTGATTCCTAATTTTAGAACCTCATAGAAAGCCTTAGTAGCTTTGTTGGCTATGGACTGTTTCGCTCTCTTAAAGTTCCCACTCCTGGCCAATTCTATCCCTAAATAATTTCAACTGTTCACTATTTCTAATTCTATTCCGTTTAAGTTAAAACTTAGGTTCCTTGGAAGTGTTCCTCAAGAAAAAACCATGATTTTACTTTTATCAGCATTAACTTTCAGTTTCCATATAGAACAATAATCTTGAAATGAGTCAAGTTGCCTTTGGAGATCTGCAGGTGATTCTGCCATTAGCACAGTATCATCAGCATATAAAATTACAAATAATTTTAAATATATATTAAGTTTGAGTTCAATTTCGTTAGAAATCGTTTTCAGTCCGTTTAAGTTACAGTTTGATAAGTATGACTCAAGGTCGTTCATAAATAAGGCAAAAAGAAAAGGGGACACATTTTCCCCTTGTCGTACACCGTTACTACAAGGGAAAAATTCTGACTCACAATCATTATAAGAAATACAGGACTTTGTACCATTATACATATTTACAATTATATTATACATGTTACCATTCATATTATTCACTAGCAACTTGTACCATAGTCCATCCCGCCAAACTTTATCGAAAGCTTTTTCAAAATCAATAAATGCGCAAAACATTTTTTTTTTCTTGTTTTTTAGAATTTCAAAAAAGTTGAAAATTATGAATAAATTATCAGTTGTTGAATAGCCCTTACGAAATCCACATTGATTTTCATTCATGATAAGAAAGTCGTCTGAAAACTCAGTTAATCGCTCACTCAAAATTGCAGTAAAGAGTTTCCCAAGGCAACTCAGAATTGTTATTGGTCTATAATTTTTTGGGTCCATTTTGTCACCCTTGTTTTTGAAAATCGGTTTAATATTTCCAATAAGCCAACTATCCGGGACAACACCTGTTACGAAAATAATATTAAATAGTTGCTCGTAAATGTCTATGAATATATTTTCTGTTGACTTAATATATTCATTTACGATTAAATCCTCCCCTGGGGATTTATTGTTTTTTAATTTTTTAATACATTTTTTAATTTCGTCTTTTGAAATGTTCCTATTTATACTTTCATTCAGACGATTAATATCGTTCGGGTCAATATATGGTATGTTAAAGTCTTGCTTGTCATATGGTTCCTTGTTTAAAGCTTTAAAAAAATCAAAAAGTTTTTCAATAGGAATGTCTGGTTGCTCCCTATGTTTACCATTTTTCAATAGTTTCCAGAATTCCTGTGAATTATTTGATTTTAATTTTTTAATTTTCTTTGACAACTTTCTTTTGTGATCAAGAATAGCTTGATCCATTATTTTTTTGTATTTTTTTTCAGCTACTTTCAAGTCTTGAAAGTTTTGATTTGTTCTATTTGTTTTGAATTTTCTTTTACGTTTCCTGAAATTTTGTCTCTCAAAATGACAATCATCATTAAACCATTCTTTTTTCAATTTTCCCAGTTTCTTTTTTTGTTTTTGCTTAGAATTAGAAAATTTACAAGTTCCAAATGTGGATTTCGCAGAATTATAGAATATTGAACATAAATGATCAAGTAAGGTATTAACTTTTGTTTTATCGACTGACGAGTACGTTTTACTAATATCTAGGTTTCCACCTAAAACTTCGTTTAACAGTATCTTTAATTCATTAACTTTGCCTTGTTCAATCTGGTCTTTAAATTCAAGACATTTTTCTTGGTCCCATTTCTTAATTTTTTCAGAAAATGTTTGACAATTACAGTTTTCACGAGTTT